GGGAAGCTTCCCACTGGAGTGGAAATCATCTATCGGACAGATGGCAAACTATTTAACCTCAGCAGACTGAAAGCCAAAACCAAGGTCACAACAACATCTGTTATAGATCTCTAATATGCTGATGATAATGTCTTCTGTGCACATTCAGAAGACCTACAAGGCGCTTTAACACCTTTGCAGAAGCACACAAAAAGCTCGGCCTCTCACTGAACATCGAAAGAACCAAAATGCTTTTTCAGCAGTCACCAGCCAATCCCTCTACAATGCCTGAAAATCAGCTTAATGGTGCAACATTAGAAAATGTTGACTATTTCCACTGCCTTGGCAGCCACCTCTGACACTGAAATACAACACCACCTGAGCTCTGCAAGTGCAGCATTTTTCCACATGAAGGAGAAAGTCTTCAAGGATTGGGACATCCGTAGGTAGACCAAAGTGCTTGTTTATAAAGCTTTTGCCCTCCCAACCCTGTTTTTTGCCTGTGAAACATGGACTGTCTAGAGATGTCACACTCAACTTCTGGAATAATTCCATCCATGTTGCCTCTGAAAAATCCTACAAATCTCTTGGGAAGACAGGTGGACAAATGTCAGTGTGCTGGAAGAAGAAAAGATCACCAGCATTTAAGTGATGTTCCATCAATTCCATTGGACTGGCCACATTGTCCAAATGCCCAATCAATGTCTCCCAAACTCAACTCAAGAATGGAAAACGTAATGTTGGTGGCCAGGAAAAGAGATTTAAAGATGTGCTTAAATCCCAACTCAAGAATGGAAAACGTAATGTTGGTGGCCAGGAAAAGAGATTTAAAGATGGGCTTAAAGCTAATCTTAAAACTGTGGCATAGACACTGAGAACTGGGAAGCCCTGGCCCTTGAGCGCTTTAACTGGAGGTCAGCTGAGACCAGCAGTACTGCAGAATTTAAAGAGACAGGAATGGAGGGTGAAAGGGAGGAATATGCCAAGAGGAAGGTGCATCAAGCCAACCCTGACTGGGACCACCTTCAACTTGGAAATTGATATCCTCAGAGGAAGAACATGTGGATCAAGAATAGGGTTCCACAGTCACCTATGTATCCACTGGCAAGATACTGGACTTGGAGGGCCATCATCCTTGGGCTATGAGGGATTGCCTAAGTAAGTAAAGTACAGCCCTTCACAGCTTAGCACCCCAGTCTCCTATAGGGCCTTCTGCTGGTGCTTTGTTTATCTGCGCCAGTCTGAGGCACTTAGGAGAAGAGGACAATCTTTTGCCATCCTCTTCCCTAGAAAACAGATGCTGAGGATGGGAGATGGATATTCTGGGGAATATCCAAAAGCCCATAGGAAAAGCAGCTGATTTCCTACTGTCCACTAGGCTTATGTCTTGATGTGCCAGTCTTCCATGGAAAATGGATCACGCTTTAAGGACTCTTCTTGGGAGGCTTAGGTCACACACGTTTGAACAAGTTTGAAGCAGAGGCTGGGTAGCCATCTGTAGAGGGTGCTTTGATTATGCTTTTCTGGTTGGCAGAAGGGGGTTGGACTGGATGGCCCTTGGGAGTCTCTTCCGACTCTGTGATTGTAACTTTTCTCTTTGGAAAAATAAGAAATGCACCATGGCGCCAGCCTTGTTGTGTGAATAAGCCTCTTTCAGTCTCCCTGGAAATGCACCTCTACTTCTCAACAAATGTGGCAAAAGCTAGATCATGAACCCAGAGCTTAAAGAAGAGACTGAACGAATGGGTGAAAGCCAAGTAACGGTCAGCTCTTCTCTGCGGGAGGGAAAGAGGGGAAAGGGATCAACTTCCGAAAAGAGCGAAAGAGGGGCCTGATAACATCTCCCCTGAATTACAGGAGGATGTGGGAAGAAAGGGCTCACAATGGCCACCCTCTTTTCTATCCAAAGCTATTCAGATGGGCTTATCGTGGAGGGAAAGGCGGAGAGAAGCAGGCGAGGGGTTAGGCAAAATGCACAATAGGATCAGCATAGACCAGGCATGGGCAAACTTGGGCCCTCCAAGTATTTTGGACTCCAACTCCCACATTTCCTAACAGCCTCAGGACCCTTCCTTTCCCCCCTCAGCTGCTTAAGCCTGAGGCTGTTAGGAATTGTGGGAGTTGAAGTCCAAAACATCCTTCCCTCCAGTGAGCAGTCAGGTGTTATTTCCTGGAGTATGGACTGGTTTGATCTTCTTGTGGTCCAAGGCATGCCTGGTATAAAGCCAAAGATTTACCCATATATTTAGTCATGTCCAACTCTGGAAGTTGGTGCTCATCTCCATTTCTAAGCCAAACAGCCAGCATTGTCCGTAGACACCTCCAAGGTCATGTGGCCAGAATGACTGCATGTAGCACTGTTACCTTCCTGCCAGAGTGGTACCTACTGATCTACTCACATTTGCATGTTTTTGAACTGCTAGGTTGGCAGAAGCTGGGGCTAACAGTGGTAGCTCACCCTGCTCCAGATATTCGAACCGCTGACCTTTCGGTCAGCAGCTCAGCAACTCAACCCGTGGCACCACTGGGTGGGCTCCTGCTGTAGACTCATATAAATCCACTTGAATGACAGCAGTCAACACTGCGCATATAATGTAGTTAAGTGTTTCTCAACCTTCCTAATATTGTGACCCCTTAATGTAGTTCCTCATGTTGTGGCGACCCCCAACCATAAAATTATTTCCGTTGCTACTTCATAACTGTAATTTTGCTATTGTTATGAATCGTAATGTGAATTTCTGATATGCAGGATGTATTTTCATTCACTGGACCAAATTTTGCACAAGGCTGAGCGAAGGAAGATCGATGCTTTTGAGCTGTGGTGTTGGAGGAAAGTTCTGAGAGTGCCTTGGACTGCGAGAAGATCCAACCAGTCCATCCTCCAGGAAATAAAGCCCGACTGCTCACTGGAGGGAAGGATACTAGAGACAAAGTTGAAGTACTTTGGCCACATCATGAGGAGACAGCAAAGCCTAGAGAAGACAATTATGCTGGGGAAAGTGGAAGGCAAAAGGAAGAGGGGCCGACCAAGGGCAAGATGGATGGATGGCATCCTTGAAATGACTGGACTGACCTTGAAGGAGCTGGGGGTGGTGACGGCTGACAGGGAGCTCTGGCGTGGGCTGGTCCATGAGGTCACGAAGAGTCGGAGATGACTAAACGAATGAACAACAAAATCCAATTTCCAAAATTTGAACACTGGTGGGGTTGGTGGTTGATTTGTCATCTGGGATTTGTAGTTGCTGGGATTTATAGTTAACCTACAATCAAAGAGCATTCTATACTCCACCAATGATGGAATTGAACCACACTTGGCTCAATGACTAATAGAACATACTGGAAGGGTTCGGTGGGCATTGACCTTGAGTTCTGGAGTTGTAGTTCACCTACATCCAGAGAGTACTGTGGATACAAACAATGATGGATCTGGACCATCATTGGCACGAATACTCAATATGCCCAAATGTGAACATTGGTGGAGTTTGAGGGAAACAGACCTTGACATTTGGGAGTTGTAGTTGCTGGGATTTATAGTTCACCTACAACCAAAGAGTATTCTGAATCCCACCAATGAAAGAACTGGGCCAAACTTTCCACACAGAGACCCCCACGATCAACAGAAAATACTGGAGGGGGTTGAGGGGAATTGACAGTGATTTAGGGGAGATGTAGTTCACCTACATCCAGAGAGCACTGTGAACCCAAACGCCAATGGATCTGGACCAAATTTAGCACCAATATCTGATATGCCAAAATTTGAATATGGTGAGGCGGGGGGGGGGGTATTGGGAGTTGTAGTTGCTGGGATTTATAGTTCTCCTACAATCAAAGAGTATTCTGAACTCCACCAAGGATGGAATTGAACCAAACTTGGCACATAGAACTCCCTTGATCAACAAAAATACTGAAAGGGTTTGGTGGGCATTACCTTGAGTTTTGGAGTTGTAGTTCACCTAAATCCAGAGAGCACTATGATGGATCTGGACCAAACTTGGCACGAATACTCAATATTCCTATATGTGAACACTGCTGAAATTTGAATATGGTGGGGCTGGGGGATATTGATTTTGTCATTTGGGAGTTGTAGTTGCTGGGATTTACAGTTCACCTACAATCAAAGAGCACTCTGAACCCAGCATTATAATGGTAGTTGGCAATACAGATGGGTTTCCCCCCAGGCCTGTACCTGGGGGGGGGGGGATGGTTCAACCCCCCCCCCCCCGCTGAAATATTTCAGGTCAATTTCGTGGGGAGGGGGTTGAACGCTTAACTTCCCTGCCCCCGCCCCCTACAAGCCTCCGCTTCGGCCTGTTTATTTCCGCAGTCCTGCTCTTCCTCCTTCTTCTGGGTCTCGGTCGTCCCAAACCGTGAGTCGACCTCCTCCTCCTCTTGGCCTCTCTCTCTCTCTCTCTCCTCCTTCCTCCTCCCGGGACTCAAGGTGCGCGGAGAGACAAAGGGTTAAAGGCGGCGGGGGCGGAGGGAGGCTCCGGATTGGCCCGAAGTTTGGAGTGGGCGTGGCCTGGGCAGCCTCTCCTGCTGCCCAGAAGTGCGGAGCCTCCTCGAGGCGGGCGCGCGGAGCCGGGAGAGAGAGAGAGAGAGAACAGAGAGAGGGGAGGGGGCGCAGGAGAGGAGCGAGAGGGTCGCCCTTGGCCGGAACCTGAGCAAAGTCTTCTCCGGCGGCACCGCATCCTTTTCCCTTCCAGCGCTTCGGCATCCTGCTCCGTGGCGCCGGCAGGAGGGACCTCCGTTCCTTTGTCGGGGAGGAGGATGGCGCTCCGGGCCAGGGTCCGGCGGTGAAGAGCGGAGGAGGAGGAGGAAGGCGCGAAGGGGCTGCTGCTGCTGCTGCTTCTGTCAGAGAGAGAGAGAGAAAGGGGGGGGGGTCGAGAGGGAAAGAGAAAGGGGCGGCACATGGGGCCCGGCAGCGGCAGTGGCGGAGGGGGGTCCCGCTGCGAGGAGGCGCCGGCGGAGAGGCGGAGAGGGGCTTGAGAGGCGCCCAGCCGGGAAGGAGCCCGCCCGCCCGCCCGCCCGACCCCCCATCACCCTCCGCCGCGGTAAGAAGGAAGAGGAGGAGGGAGGGAGGGAGGGAGACGGAAGGAGGGAGCCTGCCGGGGAACAAGTGCGCGGCTCTTGGCGGAGAGGGGGGCTTGGGGAAGTCTAGCTAGCCTTCAAGGAGACCCCCCTCTTTTTGCTGGGCGAGGTGAAGGAGACACGGACCGAGGGGCGCCTGAAAAGGAGGCGGCTCTCCTCGCGGGGGATCGCGGACAAGAGCCGAAGAATCCCGACTTTCCGAGAAATCCCGACCTATCCAAGCCCCTTCTTCCTCCTCTTCCTCCACTACCTCCTCCTCTTCTTCTTTTTCCCCTTTCACTTCCTCTTCATCTTCTTCCTCCACTTCTTCCTCTTCTCCTCTTCCTCTTCTCCACCACCTCTTCTTCTTCCTCCTCTTCCTTCCTCCTCTCCCTTCCTCCCCACTTCTTCCTCCTCTTCTTCCTCTTCTCCACCACTCTTCTTCTTCTTCCTCCTCCACTTCTTCCTCCTCTTCTTCCTCTTCTCCACCACCTCCTCTTCTTCTTCTTCCTCCTCCTTCACTTCTTCCTCCACTTCTTCCTCTTCTCCACCACTACTTCTTCTTCTTCCTCCTCCTCCACTTCTTCCTCCTCTTCTTCCTCCTCTTCTTCCTCTTCACCACCACCACCACCTCCTCTTCCTCTTCTTCTTCTTCCTCCACTTCTTCCTCTTCTCCGCCACTACTACTTCTTCCTCCTCCTCCACTTCTTCCTCCTCTTCTTCCTCTTCTCCATCACCACCACTTCCTCTTCTTCTTCTTCTTCTTCCTCCTCCACTTCTTCCTCCACTTCTTCCTCTTCTCCACCTCCTCCTCCTCTTCTTTCTCTTTCTCCTCTTCTTCTTCCTCCTCCTCTTCTTCGTCTTCTCCCTCTCCTCCGTCTCTCGCATGCCGTGCTGCCCTGGGCCGGGATGCTGGTTGGGTTTGCCAAAGGCTGGGATCCGGATCCCTTTCGCGGGAGGACAGAAAGAGGGAAACCCGGCCCGCGTGCGTGCGCGCGTGCTTTCGTTCCTCCCGCGAAGACGATCCCACGGGAGAAGTCGCTACAATCTGGAACTCTTGAGTGCGACCCGCCGCGGGCCCTTCCACACAGCCCGCTATCCCACAACATCAAGGCAGAGAATCCCCACACTATCTGAGTGTGGATAACCCAGTTCAAAGCCGATATTGTGGGATTTCCTGCCTTGATAGTCTGGGATCGAGGGCTGTGTGGAAGGAAGGGCACTGAAGGGGCAGGCTTTGGAAACGTCTTTGCCTTTCCCTGAGTGGGAGAACCCCCATCTTTTCTCTCTCCCCCTGGTGAGGCTTGCCTCGGATATACAGCATGCCCGCCCGCCCGCCTGCCTTGCCCTCCTTCCTTTCGTTATCACTCTCAAAGCCAAGGGAGGGCAGGTGACAAGGCTCAGCTTCCCCTCAGGGCCCTTCCACACAGCTCTCTATCCCAGAATATCAAGGCAGAGAATCCCACATGGAGTGTGGGCTCAAATAACCCAGTTCAAAGCCGATATTGTGGCATTTTCCGCCTTGGTAGGCTGTGTGGAAAGGCCCTCAGAGAGAGCAATGGGAGTACACACACCAGCCCTCACAGTAAAAGAGCTGATTTCTTACACAAACCCAATTTACTTTGGTTTCCTATCAAATCCAGGGTTTTTTTCCTCCCCTCTTTTTGATGAAGTTTTGAATTCCCTGGTTGTTATTTGACTTTTGTTTTGGTTTCTTTCTCCTTTTCAGGCCTTCCCTTTCAGCCTGGAAAGAAGGAGAAAGAGCCAAGCCTGCGCTCAGGATGGACTTCCAGTTCGTGCTGCTTTTTGTGGGAGTTGTGGCACTTGCTGACTCTGCCAGAGGTAAGCCACTGAATCGCGCCACTCACAGCCTTTTTGGCATGTGCAGACAGTCCCCGAGTTACAAACATCCAACTTGCAAATGATTCTGAGTTAAGAATAGGGGTGAAATATTTGCAGTAAGCTTTCTCTCCCGGGTGTTGTGCCTCATGTAAGTCGTGTAACTGTTTATGTCTGTCAAGAAAGGAGTTGTTCTTTGTAGGGAGGCAATTCAGAAGACAAAAAAGCAATACAGGCAATCCCTGAGTTACAAACATCTTACTTATAAACAATTCATAGTTAAGAACAGGGGGTGAGGCGACAGGAAGTGAGAGAAATTTACCCCTTGGAGGGGAAATTTCCTCCTGAAGGAGGAAAAGGTGTCTCAACATGGGAAAAAGGTTTCTCAACTGAAATTTTCTCACAAATTATAAACAACAAATAGTTAAGAACTGGGTTTTTTTCCCCTGTGTCAGGAGCAACTTGACAAACTGCAAGTCGCTTCTTGTGTAAGAGAATTGGCCATCTGCAAGGACGTTGCCTAGGGGATTCCTGGATGTTTTGATGTTTTAGTATCCTTGTGGGAGGCTTTTCTCATGTCCCCGCATGGGGAGCTGGAGCTGACAGAGGGAGCTCATCTGTGCTCTCCCTGGATTCGAACCGCCAAGCTGTCGGTCTTCAGTCCTGCCAGCAAAAGGGTTTAACCCATTGCGCCACTGAGGGCTCGTAAGAACAGGAGTGAGGCAATAGAAAGTGAGAGAAATCTACCCCTCAGAAGGGACATTCCCTCCTGAAAGAGTTATCATGGGGAAAAGGGGTCTCCACTGAAGTTTTATTACCAATCCTTGTGAATCCCTGGTGGCACAGTGGGTTAAATCCTTGTGCCTGCAGGACTTCTGACAGACAGGTCAGTAGTTCAAATCTAGGGAGATCGGGATGAGCTCCCTCTGTCAGCTCCAGCTCTCCATGTGGGGATATAAGAGAAGCCTCCCACAAGGATGGTAAAAATCAAACATCCAGGCATCCCCTGGGAAACATCCTTACAGACGACCAGTTCTCTCACGTCAGAAGCGACTTGCAGTTCCTCAGGTCACTCCTGACATGGAAAAAAAATCCTTGTTTCCACAAGCCAAATTTCTCAAAATCCCAATTCTCACAGGGACGGAAAGTGAAGTGAAATCTCCAGAATGGATAGATATTAGCCACCTTGAGTCCCTATGGGGAGAAAGGCAGGATATAAAAAAAGATAATAGTAGTAGTAGTAGTAATAATAATAATGATAATGATAATAATAATAATAATAATAATAATAATACTCTGGCATAAATCAGCGCACTGGGTGTCAAGCCAAAAGATCTCAGGCGGCATTTGGAAACAATACACATTGACAAAATCACTGTCTATCAACTGCAGAAGGCCACCTTACTTGGATCTGCATGCATCATTCGAAAATACATCACACAGCCTTAAACGCTTGGGAAGTGTTTGACTTGTGATTTTGAGATATGAAATCCTGCATAGAGATCTCGTTTGCTGTGACATACTGTGTTTTTGTGTCAGTAAAATAATAATAATAATAATAATAATAATAATGAAACAGGGGCACAGACACTAAAACAAACACCACAGGGTGTTAACCCTTCCTATGCTATCCAAAGCATGCTTATTTATTTATTTACTGCATTTATATTCTGCCTTTCTCACCCCAAAGGGGACTCAGGGCGGATCACAGAATACAGATATGGCAAACATTCAATGCCGTTATACAGACAAGACAAATAGAGATATTTATAGGCATTTTCCTTCTTCGGTGTCCTATATATATATATATAGGCTGGAATTAGGCTTGGAAATGTACCTGTTCCGACTTACACACAAATTCAACTTAAGAACAAACCAGCAGAACCTATCTTGTTTGTAACTTGGAGACTGCCTGTACTGTATTTTCTCTTCCTCTCTTATCCTGGTACCCTTCATTCTTGAATTCCTCCTTGCATCTTACAAGCCATTGGCTTTCTCTGTGGTTCCTTCTTTCCTGACAGGCAAGTGTGCTTTGTTTGGGGCCTTTTCCATGTCACTTGTTTCTGAGCTGTGAAAATCCTGGGTTGGCTTCCAGTTTTCAGTCTGGAGTCAAAGAAAAACAGTTGCATTCCTGGGTGGACCAGGGGGCCTCTCTCTTTCTGTAATCTCTCCTCTCGCCCTGTATTCCCAACAGCACCAACTAAACAAACAAATCCATTAACTCCCCCCCCCCCGCCCCCAAGTGACAGACAAGTGACAGTTCTCCACAGATAGCACATATTTTAGCACCGGGGCTTAAATATGTCATTGGATTCCTCTAAATGTGGAGAAACTGGGGTCGAAGAAGATGAATTGTGGTGGTAAAGATGCCAAATTCTTTTCATAAATATTGTAACTTAACTAAATACTGAAGATCATTGTCACTGAGGCGGTTTCAGTCCCTTTCTACTTCTCATCTTGGCATTGAGAACTCCCACTGAGAAATTACTCCTGGGGCCAGTCCTGTTCTGTTAAGATGATTTAACACAGAAATTTCTTGATATTTCATGTCGGTGAAACACTTTTTAGACATGTGTCATTTTGCAACACAGTCATTCAGGTTTGCTAGCAAACCAACCCCTTGTAAACAATACCTACATTGTAATAGGGACACAACATAGCTCATGGAAACTTTTGTGTATATATTTTAAAGGTTTTCATGAGCTATATATACCTTTTATGTATACATTTTAATATATACATAATATATATCACTTTTTACATATATATTTGTACTATGTATTATGTATACATAATACCTTTTATGTATATATTTTAAAGGAGCCCCGGTGGCACAGCGGGTTAAACTGCTGAGCTGCTGAACTTGCTAACTGAAAGGCTGGCAGTTTGAATCCGGGGAGCAGGGTGAGCTCCCGCTGCTAGCCATACCTTGTGTCAACCTAGCAGTTTGAAAACATGCAAATGTGAGTAGATCAATAGGTACTGCTTCATGGTAACGGTGGTCCATGTAGTCATTCTGGCCACATGACCTCGGAGGCGTCTATGGACAGCGCTGGCTCTTTGGCTGAAAAATGGAGATGAGCACCACCCGCTAGAGTCGGACTTGACTAGACTTAATGTCAAGGGGAAAGCTTTACTATATATTTTAAATTTAGTGATTCATAAGCGATATATTTTTTTAAAATGTGTAATTTTTCATTACGTTGGTGCAACACACCTACAGCTGACACATGAATGTGTTGCAACACACAGTTTGGAAAGCTCTGACTTGAAAATTTAATTCTGTGTATAAAGACTGGTGCGGGGTACCCATTAAGAATGGAGCTAAGACTCCTGCAACTTGGAGCCCTTCCAGACAGGCCCTGTATCCCAGAATCCGATCACAGGTTTTCTGTTTATCCCAGATTATCTAGAAGTGGGGACTCATATAATCCAGTTTAATGCAGAAAACCTGGGATCAGATCCTGGGATAGAGGGCCTGTCTGGAAGGGCCCTTGTAGAAATAAGTGACTAGAAGTGCATATGTTTTGCATGTAGAAGGTCCCAGATACAATTGCTGGTGTCTGAGGTTAGGACTGGGAAATAAATGTGCCTGAAACTCTGGAGTGACACTGCTATTCATCAGAGACCGTATTGAATTAGCTAGATCATTTCATTATAAGGTAGTGTCTTAATAAGTCTGCACTTTTAAATTTGGTGTCCGTTTTGTTCCCGAACATGTGCCAGTGTCTGGAGGAAAGTGACTCAGAGTCTTGCGAAAACAATGGACGTTCAGCTCCTCCAATGCGCTTACCCCCTACCAAATATTTTATAGAAGCAGTAGCAGTGTAAGTTGATCCTCCTACATGCTGGATGAAAGGCAAACAGTATATCGCTTTTTAAGACCTAAAAGACTGAATGGAGTCAGTCTTAAGATGGAGGCAGTATATAGCACAGGATGGATTAAGTAGTCATACATTTATATTAATTTCATCGATGATGGATTAATATGTCATTAGGAGCTCAGCAAAGAATTTGGAAAGACTTAGAGGCAAGAACAGTTTTGTTTCAATTCTGATCGGAAAACTGATTTTAACAGCTATGTTTTGCTACCTTTGTCTTTCATATGTATATGGTACATGTAGACTCTGCAGTGTAATGTGATGTTTGTGTTCATATGATGTGGGCTAAGGCTTTGCTTAAACTAACAAGATATTCTACAGGGTTTAAAAATTTTGCCATGTTCCTAGATTAAAGAAACTGCTTAGAGATACTATATCTGAATGAAAATTGGTCAAGTTTTGAGTTTGTTGTTCATTTGTTCAGTTGCTTCCGACTCTTCATGATCTCATGGACCAGAGCTCTCTGTCTCTTTTGAGTACTCATAGTAAATTAGTAAAACACAACTGGACACACAAAACCGTGTTAAAGTCAGAGGAAAGTATTGTGATATAGTAGGTTTTAGAGAGCAGTGTCAGTAAGGTGACATTTATGAATCTCCCTTGATGGATGTGTTGCTGAAGCCTGAAAAGGGAACTGTATTGTATTGCAACAGGAACAGAGAACATCTTGTGCACTGTAAACAGTTATTTTTTATATATACAGCAATCAAACTTTACAATGTCATTTTAAAGTGTCTGTTCAGGTGATCATCTCTTCCCTCTCATACAATAGTTCAGATAAATTATCACATAGGGGTTTTCTATTTTGATCACACAGACTTTGTGTACAGTTTGGTGGTGAATTTCAAGGATGTTAATGACTGTTCTAAGTTCTAATGAATAAATGCATTTGATTGACAGAACTACTTTCCTAGGAGCACTGTGTAGAGGGCAGAGTGGTCTTCAAAGTAAAGGAGGTTTATGTAACTTAAGGCCCTTTCCACACTGCCCTATATCCCAGGATCTGATCCCAGATTATTTTATTTAAACTGGATTATATGAGTCTCCACTGCCAGATAATCTGGGATAAAAAGATAATTTGGGATGAAATCCTGGGATATAGGAGCAGTGTGGAAGGGGCCA